ATTGACGGTGTGTGTGTTGTTCTGTGTCGACAGACGGTGGCTCCGCGTGACCACAAGTTCTCACTGTTCCGCACGTACTGGCTGGTGTGGGCCATCCTGTTCCAGGCTGCTGTGCACACCGACTGTCCTCGAGGACTGACAGCCAGGTCAGGTCAGAGGCTGACAGTCAGGTCGGGTCAGGGATGGCCGTCAGGTCAGGTCAGAGGCTGACCGTCAGCACAGGCCGTATGCTGACGGTCTGGTCAGGCTAGTGTCTGAACAGCGAGGCCAGGTCAGGGTGTGGGTCAGCTCACATCAGGGGCCAACAGGTCGAGTCAGAGACCGATGGCCAGGTCAGGTCAGGGGCTGACAGTCAGGTCGGGTCAGGGATGGCCGTCAGGTCAGGTCAGGGGCTGCCGTCAGGTCAGGCCGTATGCTGACGGTCTGGTCAGGCTAGTGTCTGAACAGCGAGGCCAGGTCAGGGTGTGGGTCAGCTCACATCAGGGGCCAACAGGTCGAGTCAGAGACCGATGGCCAGGTCAAGTCAGGGGCTGGCAGCCACGCCGAGTCAGTGGCTCACATCCGGTTCATGCCAGGATCGTTAGCTAAGCCATTTCCTGGGACTTATAGCTAGGTGAGAACAGTGACTCAGAGCCTAACTGAAAACAACAGCCAACTTAGTTAACGACATGGTGTGCAGTGCGAGCAATCAGTTCGTAACTGGTGCTCTCTAAAGCAATCTCTGGAAAGGTCAAAGTACGCCAGGTGTCCCACGCTACCTGCTTCTACTCCGAACCGTACTTAAGTACTCAGGAGCTGGATCCTCTAGAGGTAGACACCTGTAGACGTTCCACGTTATTCACATGACACTGCAAACTGCTGATGCGCTGCTCAAGTGCAACTCAATTATACGGCAGTCTTCAAGTTGTAAAGCAACACGTGTCCATATGCAGACAGCATTAATCAATCGGCCAGACCAATCCAGAATTGGTAACTTGCGTATCCAATGTTTAGGTGAAGGGCAGAAGCTGAATGGCAAATATAAAATAGTCAAACTATAACGGCTACTCCTCCCCTCACAGTCCATTTGTCTGTGTAGTATGGAGTTTCCGTGTGTGTCTGCACTCCCAGGCCTAAAAGTCGCGGTGTCTTGTAAACCCCGGACATGTGATTGCCCTGGCAGGTACATGAGCTCACATCTGAACCCCTCTTCGCCCTCCCCCGATCGTCTGGCGATGCCGGCGGGCTTGTGCCCCTCCCCCATCTGAACCCCGCCCCTGACTGCCTGATAGCTGCGGCAGATTCATGGCCTCCCATCTGAACCCCGTTCCTGACTGTATGATAACTGGGGGAGATTCATGGCCTCCCATCTGAACCCCATCTCTGACTGTCTGATGACCTGGACAGATTCATGGCTTCCATGTGGGCACTGTTTGCGGTCGTCTTCCTCGCCATCTACACCGCCAACCTGGCCGCCTTCATGATTACGCGAGAGGAGTTCCACGAACTGAAGGGTATTGACGACGACCGGGTGAGTGGGCTCAAGCACCATCCGCACCTCTCCGCCTGCCGCGCCTAATCAGACCCCGAGGCCACGCCGAGTGAAGGGGAGGCTGCCGGTATGGGCACTGCGGTCTGCTTCGGTGAGGACGCTGCCGTCCGCGCCCCCGGCCGGTGCGCCGGGCACAGGCAGGCGGCGAGGGAGGAGGGGAGGGCGACAGGGTGCGAGAGGGAGAGAGGGCGAGAGGGGACGAGAGGGCGAGAGGACGAGAGGGCGAGAGGGCGAGAGGGCGAGAGGACAAGAAGACAAGAAGGCAAGAGGATGAGAGGGCGAGAGGGCGAGAGAGCGAGAGGGCGAGAGGGCGAGGGGGTGAGAGGGCGAGGGGGCGAAAGGGCGGGAGGTGGATATAGAGAGAGGTGGCTAGATAGAGAGAGAAAGAGAGAGGGATAGAGAGAGAGAGAGGGAGAGAGGCGACAGCGTTGGGAACCGGAAAGGAAGGTGATTGCTGATGGAACGGTGGAGGAGAACAGTTAGTGGTCGCTGGTGCCATTACTGCGAGGAGACAAGTGCCGGTAACGGATGTAAATCTGATGAAGGCGGAAGCGGCTAACGGTGGCGTAAGCGGCACTGGATGGTGGCGTGATGTCATTGTTATGTGCTGACTGTCGTTAGGTGCTACTTCCGTCTGACCAGGAGGTCGCTAATGACAACCGATGGCGGTTCTCTCCAGATGGTGTTCCCCAACTCGTTCGAGCCGCCGTTCCGGGCCGGAACCGTCCTGTACACCAACACCGAGATGGTGCTCCGGAAGCACAAGCCGCAGCAGTTCAGGCACATCCTTCAGCACACACGTGCGGATGTACAGGAGGGCATCAAGCATATCAAGACTGGGTGAGGGCTCTTCGCGCCACCAGACCGTCCAACGCGAGCCGGTCCGATTCGCCATCGCTCCACTCCTGCTCTTTCTCTGTTGGTGCTCGTAATTACGCCCCAAAATATGAAACAGCTCAACTGGGTAAACACCACAGGAACCGGAGACACTACACACCAGTGAATGGGCGGCGCGCTGCGCAGTGCGGAGCTAGTGCAGACTGTACACAGGGGTCATCAGGGAGCCGGGCGAATGGGCGGCGGGCTGCGCAGTGCGGAGCTAGTGCAGACTGTACACAGGGGTCATCAGGGAGCCGGGCGAATGGGCGGCGGGCTGCACCGTGTGGAGCTAGTGCAGACTGTACACAGGGGTTACCAGGGAGCCGGGCGAATGGGCGGCGGGCTGCACCGTGTGGAGCTAGTGCAGACTGTACACAGGGGTTACCAGGGAGCCGGACGAATGGGCGGCGGGCTGCACCGTGTGGAGCTAGTGCAGACTGTACACAGGGGTCATCAGGGAGCCGGGCGAATGGGCGGCGGGCTGCACCGTGTGGAGCTAGTGCAGACTGTACACAGGGGTCATCAGGGAGCCGGGCGAATGGGCGGCGGGCTGCGCAGTGCGGAGCTAGTGCAGACTGTACACAGGGGTCATCAGGGAGCCGGGCGAATGGGCGGCGGGCTGCACCGTGTGGAGCTAGTGCAGACTGTACACAGGGGTTACCAGGGAGCCGGACGAATGGGCGGCGGGCTGCACCGTGTGGAGCTAGTGCAGACTGTACACAGGGGTTACCAGGGAGCCGGACGAATGGGCGGCGGGCTGCACCGTGTGGAGCTAGTGCAGACTGTACACAGGGGTCATCAGGGAGCCGGGCGAATGGGCGGCGGGCTGCACCGTGTGGAGCTAGTGCAGACTGTACACAGGGGTTACCAGGGAGCCGGACGAATGGGCGGCGGGCTGCACCGTGTGGAGCTAGTGCAGACTGTACACAGGGGTCATCAGGGAGCCGGGCGAATGGGCGGCGGGCTGCGCAGTGCGGAGCTAGTGCAGACTGTACACAGGGGTCATCAGGGAGCCGGGCGAATGGGCGGCGGGCTGCACCGTGTGGAGCTAGTGCAGACTGTACACAGGGGTTACCAGGGAGCCGGGCGAATGGGCGGCGGGCTGCACCGTGTGGAGCTAGTGCAGACTGTACACAGGGGTTACCAGGGAGCCGGACGAATGGGCGGCGGGCTGCACCGTGTGGAGCTAGTGCAGACTGTACACAGGGGTCATCAGGGAGCCGGGCGAATGGGCGGCGGGCTGCACCGTGTGGAGCTAGTGCAGACTGTACACAGGGGTCATCAGGGAGCCGGGCGAATGGGCGGCGGGCTGCGCAGTGCGGAGCTAGTGCAGACTGTACACAGGGGTCATCAGGGAGCCGGGCGAATGGGCGGCGGGCTGCACCGTGTGGAGCTAGTGCAGACTGTACACAGGGGTCACCAGGGAGCCGGACGAATGGGCGGCGGGCTGCACCGTGTGGAGCTAGTGCAGACTGTACACAGGGGTTACCAGGGAGCCGGACGAATGGGCGGCGGGCTGCACCGTGTGGAGCTAGTGCAGACTGTACACAGGGGTCATCAGGGAGCCGGCCGAATGGGCGGCGGGCTGCACCGTGTGGAGCTAGTGCAGACTGTACACAGGGGTTACCAGGGAGCCGGACGAATGGGCGGCGGGCTGCACCGTGTGGAGCTAGTGCAGACTGTACACAGGGGTCATCAGGGAGCCGGGCGAATGGGCGGCGGGCTGCGCAGTGCGGAGCTAGTGCAGACTGTACACAGGGGTCATCAGGAGCCGGGCGAATGGGCGGCGGGCTGCACCGTGTGGAGCTAGTGCAGACTGTACACAGGGGTTACCAGGGAGCCGGGCGAATGGGCGGCGGGCTGCACCGTGTGGAGCTAGTGCAGACTGTACACAGGGGTTACCAGGGAGCCGGACGAATGGGCGGCGGGCTGCGCCATGTGGAGCTAGTGCAGACTGTACACAGGGGTCACCAGGGAGCCGGACGAATGGGCGGCGGGCTGCACCGTGTGGAGCTAGTGCAGACTGTACACAGGGGTCATCAGGGAGCCGGGCGAATGGGCGGCGGGCTGCACCGTGTGGAGCTAGTGCACACTGTACACAGGGGGTCACCAGGGAGCCGGGCGAATGGGCGGCGGGCTGCGCAAAGTGGAGCTAGTGCAGACCGTGCACAGGGGGTCACCAGGGAGCCGGGCGAATGGGCGGCGGGCTGCACCGTGTGGAGCTAGTGCAGACTGTACACAGGGGTCACCAGGGAGCCGGACGAATGGGCGGCGGGCTGCACCGTGTGGAGCTAGTGCAGACTGTACACAGGGGTCACCAGGGAGCCGGACGAATGGGCGGCGGGCTGCACCGTGTGGAGCTAGTGCAGACTGTACACAGGGGTCATCAGGGAGCCGGACGAATGGGCGGCGGGCTGCACCGTGTGGAGCTAGTGCAGACTGTACACAGGGGTCATCAGGGAGCCGGGCGAATGGGCGGCGGGCTGCGCCATGTGGAGCTAGTGCAGACTGTACACAGGGGTTACCAGGGAGCCGGACGAATGGGCGGCGGGCTGCACCGTGTGGAGCTAGTGCAGACTGTACACAGGGGTCATCAGGGAGCCGGGCGAATGGGCGGCGGGCTGCACCGTGTGGAGCTAGCGCAGACTGTACACAGGGGTCATCAGGGAGCCGGGCGAATGGGCGGCGGGCTGCACCGTGTGGAGCTAGCGCAGACTGTACACAGGGGTCATCAGGGAGCCGGGCGAATGGGCGGCGGGCTGCGCCATGTGGAGCTAGTGCAGACTGTACACAGGGGTTACCAGGGAGCCGGACGAATGGGCGGCGGGCTGCGCCGTGTGGAGCTAGTGCAGACTGTACACAGGGGTCACCAGGGAGCCGGGCGAATGGGCGGCGGGCTGCGCCATGTGGAGCTAGTGCAGGTCGTACACAGGGGTCAGCAGGAAGCCCAGCGCCATGCGGTCAGAGCTCAGTCCGGCTGGCCCTCACTGCAGCCGGGAGCGGCGTCACCGACGGGGGCATGTCCCCCCCCCCCTCTATCGTGGGATTGAGAGGGGCAGTTTCCTTTGTTCTGGCAGCTATCTTACAGGAGAAATGTATTAATCTTACAGATTTTCGCTAAGGATCCATATTCCATATGACAGGAAATATGCGCCCTTAGTTGTTCTCTATGTGGACGGGCTTCGGCTGTCACCAGAGAGCTGGATGCGTTCCTCTACGACGCCACGGTGCTGCAGTACATGGTGGCGCAGGACGACGACTGCGAGATCCTCACTGTCGGCTCGTGGTACGGCATGACCGGCTACGGCGTCGGCTTCCGGCGCGGCTCGAAATACGTCGACCAGTTCAACAAGAAGCTCATGCAGTACAACGATCACGGTGAGGGCGTGTGCCGTTTTATCTTGTTCGCTGTGGTCGTAGGCTGCCGGTGGAAAGCCGAAGGTCGGGAATTCTGGATACGCCAGAGGCAATTTCTGAAGATTGTGGTTCCGCATCAGGCGTTGGCCTTCCGCATATTTTGGCAGCCTGTCCGTAACCCAGGGACAGGCTGGCAGCTGGGGAGCCCGGCCATCAACTACATGTTGGCTGTTACGAGGCGTGCTTCAGAATGGTGAACGGCTTGACGGCAGAGCGGTCTGCTGTCTGTCCGTCAGGCGACATCGAACGTCTGCAGAGGTTCTGGCTGACGGGTGCCTGTAAACCCCAGAAGCAGCACAAGAGGGCATCCGAACCACTGGCTCTGGAACAGGTGAGACGTGACTGGGTGCCGCTCACGCCGGGCTGCGCCGTTAGCTCTGGAACAGGTGAGACGTGACTGGGTGCCGCTCACGCCGGGCTGCGCCGCTAGCTCTGGAACAGGTGAGACGTGACTGGGTGCCGCTCACGCCGGGCCGCGCCGTTAGCTCTGGAACAGGTGAGACGTGACTGGGTGCCGCTCACGCCGGGCTGCGCCGCTAGCTCTGGAACAGGTGAGACGTGACTGGGTGCCGCTCACACCGGGCCGCGCAGGCCGCAGCTCTTCCGGCGAGCCGATCTCAACACCTGCTGTGCGCTGTGTTCAGCGATGAACTTAACACAGCAGTCAGCGGATCAGCTGAGCTGAGAGTGTGACGATGTACTGGCTTGTGAATTGTAAGCTGGCTGAATTGCATGAGTTTTAACGTTGTCTTCCTGTCGATCGTCTTTCATATTGGTGTTTATTTTGAGACAGGTTCATTAAATGTCTGGTAGTATTCGAGTGAGTGGTTGCAAAAAGATGAACAGAATTAACTTAATCATCCTGACATATCCATGAATATTTGAATACTAAACAATACAGCCTGGGGTATTCCACTAATCGCAAAGTCCCGGGTAAAAGTGCCCTGTGCTGTCCCAGGACAAGTGTGTGATCGAAAAAAATATGGCGGCAATCAATAGCCCTGACCGTTTTCAGAGAGGAGTCGTTAAGCTAACACCTTTCACGCGACTGGTGGCTCCACTAACCACAAAATTAGTTTCAGGATCACCAAATTTTTCAGTCCATTCCGAACTTTTCACATGTATAACTGAGACGCATTGCGCGGCATGAGACGAGCCAGGCGACAGCAAATATGACAGCTGTTAGCTGTAAGGTAGATGATGCCTTAAACTAAGCTAGTGGAGCCAGATAACTTCGGTAACCGACACCGACAGCTATGATCAATGCATGGGAGTTATCGCTAATGCCAATAAACTTATTTAGAAATGACTGATCGTGAGTCCGGGCAGGCTGTGCAATTTGATTCATGGACACCAATCAACTCCCTTGCAAATATAACCCATGTCTTGCGTAAAACGCAGTCGTTTCGAGTTGACGGCGTTGAGAGAAATCGGGGCTTTACGCCCGTGCTGTGTGGTTTTGATGGCTGCCTATGTTTCTTATAAGGCTACAGCGCCTTATGTTCGAGATGGGTATGGGATAGGTAGCGCTGTCCGTCTCCCGACCGATGAATGGCGATTTCATGGCCCGGTTTAGATCCGTCGACGGTATGTGGCTGATACGCTCGCCTGCTTGTTTCACGTTTTCACCTGCCCTGCTTGCTGAGATCCAGCCCCCCCCCCCCCAAAAAAAAACGGACGGATCCATGGTGTGCGCACGAGAGCGTGTGGCCGTCTGCACACATCGGCTCACAATTTAGCCCGTGCTTTTGGTCGTGTTCTGCCCTGCCAGAATCTGTTAGTCTCATGTTCCTGCCACACTGGGTCGTTAATATCTTCACCCGATGTCGGCCCGTGTTCTACAGCTTTTCGCAATCAGAGAAACTTTCCCTTTCCATGCTAACACCACGAGGCAGGTGAAATCATGGTGCTTTGTAATGCTGCGAGAAAAGGTCTCCTGATCAGCAGCCTGCATGCGAATGCCTAGCAATTCATACGGCTCAGCTTATCAAGAACTGCATTTTTGCTGCTGAAAACCGTGTGAAGCTGACAGGCGTGCGACAGATTCGGGCCGCCCAGGTTGAGCATCTTCTCAAAGCTCGAACAGACTTGCTTGCCCTGCAGCTCGCTGGTAGTAATGGCCACGTACGTAACAGCATGACTGGCACCAGACGCAGCAGCGTGTGGCTGTGTGATCGAATCATGCAATAATGCTTACATAGAGGAGGCCAGGTCAGGTTCAGATCGAATCAGGTTGAGGTCACGTCAGCTGATTGAGCATGACATTTCTACTCATCCGAATTACGTGGCCCAGAGGAATCTTATGACTTTGACTGTACCAGCTTTTTCCTGACAAATAAGAAACGGTTCAACTTTGTTCAATGCTGGTGGGTGACCTCACGTGGCGTCCGTTGATAACCATCGATAGTACAGCTGACCTGGTGTGACTATCGATAGTACAGCTGTCCTAATACAGCCATCGATGAGACGGCTGGCCTGGTGCGACCATCGATAATACGGCTAACCCGGTGCGACCATCGATAGTAAAGCTGACCCGGTGTGACCATCGATAATACAGCTGACCCGGTGTGACCATCGATAATACAGCTGACTCGGTGCGACCATCGATAGTACAGCTGACTTGGTGTGACCATCGAGGATACAGCTGACTCGGTGTGACCATCGATAGTACAGCTGACTTGGTGCGACCATCGATGGGAAAGCCGCCCCACACTAGCACACGGTCAGGCCAATGGATGTATTATCGATATCCTCTTCAACTTGCATAGATTGGTGGGCATTTATGCATAATATGCATTATGTGCCATGACCAAATGCATGTAAATTAAGCAATATCTGTAACACCATTGGTAATTTAAAAGCGTCTAATGAGCCTCTTGATGTGGAAAAGTAACCGTAGAAAGCTTTGCTGATGACAACATTCATTGCATTATTATGCTTTGTATGTTATTATGCATATTATATATACAACCATTATGTATCTTTCCACCTGTTTTGTCGAGAATATGTCAAACTGATTACCTGACTGGTAGTAAAAATTTGGGCAGCTACATGGGGCGGTTGGAGAATCACTCAGCAAATAGGAATGAAGTCACTTTTAGCCACCGCACGTGGTCGCGAAAGACACCTAAGAGCACATGCGAAGGTGTTAATCAAAAAATTGTTTCACGTGATCGATATCGGTTATATGCGTGGTATGCAGGGCGATGTTTTTTCGTGACCGCTTACGTAGAGACTCTTCTGATAGAAGTTTCCAGTGAGCCGCCATTTCCATTGACCAAATTGCCTCTGAAGGCAACCGTCACTAAACCAACTAATAAAATAATTTATGTTTTTCGCTTCATCATTGGATCACATGCCGGGGAGGATGTAGTAGATGATTTGTAGTGCGGATACTGTAGTTGGATCATCACCTTGACAAGGTTGTCTTCTTGCTTCGAATGGTTTTGCCCGGATGACGTGAGATTGGATTTCGCTGAATAAATGGCGCGAGGCCGTCGCGCCAACGTAAGCTTCAAAAGACTGGGTAATAAACTCAGCATGACGAAAGATTTGACTTTCGGTCTCCACACAGTGTCGAGAGAGCTTTATTGTTCCGTGCGACTCTGCGGCGCGGCCGTCCGTTACCAGAGCGACTCTGTGATGTGGCTGTCCGTCACCAGAGCGACTCTGTGATGTGGCTGTCCGTCACCAGAGCGACTCTGTGCCTCGCGCGGTGAGCAGTGCATTGAGTGGGCCCGCTGGCTCAGCGGGTGTGGTGAGGCGGCACTGTGGCCGCTCGCCGAGGTCGTCTCGTGCCCACGGCTGGCGACCGGCCCGCCGCCTCAGCTGCTGCCGGTGCTCCCCGTCGGTGGCCGGAGCCGCTTGCCGTCCGCGCTCCGGCCGCTCGCCTGACCGCCGACCTCCCCTGCCGACCTCTGGCCTTCCTTGCTGACCTCCGGCCTCCCCTGCTGACCGCCGACCTCTCGTGCTGCCCCAGTTTTTGTCAGCTTTCCTGCTGCTGGGCTGCGCCATACTGCTGGCCTGCGCCATACTGGCCTGCGAGCACTGCTACTTCAAGTACGTCCGCAACAAGCTGGCCAAAACGGACCGCGGCGGCTGCTGTGCCCTCATCAGCCTGGTCAGTCGGCCTGGGCCGTCTCCGTTGGCTGCCGTCAGTCCAGTGTCACGGACAGTCGGCCCGACACAGGGGGCCTATCTGTCTCATGTTTCGGACTAGCTCTTCAGGTTGGTGTGACGTGTCCGCCTCGGTACCGTACTTCATCGGCTCCCACAATCAGCCTGATCAGGGGATCGTGATCCGCATTTCGGGACTGGTTTGTGTTCGTTTGGAAGGTGCTGACTGAATGATGATCGGTTTATTCGTTTGTCGAGCTCGTGGGGGGGGGGGGGGGGGGCATGTGTCACCCATGCGTCTCGTCTGTTCAACTTGTGCCCCATGACTTCACCAACTACATCATGACTGATGCACCGGGCACAAGTTTCTCTTGAATGAGATGCCCGAGAGAGGCTAGAGCACGCGCCTCATGCACCCGGCGCGTGCCAGCACCGCTCCAGCGCCGCCCCGTCCCGTCCCGTGTCTGGACTAGCCCTGACCGCGCCTGACGACCGTCTGTTGCAGAACATGGGCAAGTCGCTGTCGTTTCGAGGGGCGGTGTACGAGGCGCAGGACATAATCAAGTACCACCACTGCCGGGACCCCATCTGCGACACCCACCTGCTCAAGGTAGGCCGCCGCTGGGGGGGGGGGGGGGAGTGAGGAGGTCTGACGCCCAGCCCAGCCCAGACGTCACGTAGCCGTGTGTACGCTCACCTGTGGCATATCTGTGACTTGGTCTGGGGTCGGCGCCCACCTGTGTCTCGGTCTGGGGTCGGCACCCACCTGTGACTCAGTTCGGAGTCGGCACCCGCCTGTGACTCGGTCTGGGGTCGGCGCCCACCTGTGACTCGGTCTGGGGTCGGCGCCCACCTGTGAGTCGGTCTGGGGTCGGCACCCACCTGTGACTCGGTCTGGGGTCGGCGCCCACCTGTGACTCGGTCTGGAGTTGGCGCCCACCTGTGACTCGGTCTGGGGTCGGCGCCCACCTGTGACTCGGTCTGGAGTTGGCGCCCACCTGTGACTCGGTCTGGGGTCGGCGCCCACCTGTGACTCGGTCTGGAGTTGGCGCCCACCTGTGACTCGGTCTGGGGTCGGCGCCCACCTGTGACTCGGTCTGGGGTCGGCGCCCACCTGTGACTCGGTCTGGAGTTGGCGCCCACCTGTGACTCGGTCTGGGGTCGGCGCCCACCTGTGACTCGGTCTGGGGTCGGCGCCCACCTGTGACTCGGTCTGGAGTTGGCGCCCACCTGTGACTCGGTCTGGAGTTGGCGCCCACCTGTGACTCGGTCTGGGGTCGGCGCCCACCTGTGACTCGGTCTGGGGTCGGCGCCCACCTGTGACTCGGTCTGGGGTCGGCGCCCACCTGTGACTCGGTCTGGAGTTGGCGCCCACCTGTGACTCGGTCTGGGGTCGGCACCCACCTGTGACTCGGTCTGGGGTCGGCGCCCACCTGTGACTCGGTCTGGGGTCGGCGCCCACCTGTGACTCGGTCTGGGGTCGGCGCCCACCTGTGACTCGGTCTGGAGTTGGCGGGGCAGCCGTCACTGGCCGCCTCCCCGTGCTGCCTTGCGGCCCTGCTTGGTGTTAAGTAAGGAGTGAAAACTCTAAAACGTACTGGGGAAAGGTAGCTCTTCGAAAAAACAACGTTTTTTGTGCTCCGTCCAACGTCCATTGGCGAGTTTCTTAGCGGCCTGAATCTCTCATTTGAGAACCAAGGTAAAAACTGAGCAGGTCCAGCCCGTCCCAAAACGTCACAAAGCGTCTCAATGTCTGCAGTGGGAGGTACAAGTGTGATACATGGCCATGGCTACAGGTAAAGCGAGAGCTGGACGTGGCGCGACTCAGGATCCGCGAGCTCGAGGACCAGCTCCTGGATAACGGCTTCGCTCCCAGCTCACGCTTCCTGGCCGCCATGCGACAGACAGCGCCGCAGAAAAGGTATCGCCGCCCTGCCGGGCTTGCACCCGCGGCTCCCTCATACTCCGCGCTGTTGCCTGCCACCCGCTCAAGACTCAGTCAGGAATGGCGCATTCTCTTCATCTCGTCTTGACAGTAAGCTTTTTGGGAATCTCTGGCTTCGTGTTTCCGTGAAAGCCTGTCAGCTGCTTTCCAGTTTGGTCCACACACTCTCTGCCTTTCTTCGCTCCAGATTGTGCGCTCTATCTCAAGTGGCGGGCCATTTGCACAGCCATTCGCTCTATTTCTTTCTACCACTACGTCTTACTTTCCGACGTTCCGTTCTGGATTTGATTTACCGCTCTGAGCTGTTTCCATCCACACCCAGCATGACTAAAGCAGTCTCAGTTCATCTTGTATGCACCTGACGTGGACGCCAATACCAACCGTATGCAGCCCGGCTTATGCAACTATGAACATCCGCTCCCCTGTTACCCACAGCAAGAACTCGTGGTGCTGTTTACCACCAAAAGATGGCGCAGAGCTCAGAGGGTACGTAATACATCACAGCACGCGGCCAGCGTTCTCCGCATGTGGTACAAGCATGTTCCTTCAAGCCCTATCGGCGCATGCCGCTTTAAAGGCTCTTGCATTATGTTCACTTGTGCATATGTTCATAACCTCAAAGGGAACGCTACGGCATCGCTGTGCTGCATCGGAAAAAACAGACGAACATAGAAGGTCGGCTGATGCGTTTTACCACATTTACCCCGTAGTGGATCGCTGTCATTGCACAAGTATCATTCATATGTGGTGGTGCATTGTGAGACTTGACCATGCAGAGCTAAAAGGGCGATAACAGTTTGAAAATGCCTGGGAACACCACGTTTGTTTGGCACGCTTCCCTACGAAGAATGCCGTTGAATGACCGTCTGGTGCCGAATTCTGCGGACGTGAAGAGAAGAGACATTCTGTTTCCATTCCATTCTGCATTTTCCAAGCCAGGCGCTTTTGTGTGGTGGGTACCATGGACAATGGCAAATGATGGTGTTCTCCGGTTCGGGCGAATTAGGCGGCTTTTAGTGCACGCGCCCACGAAGCCTTCCACGCGTAATGTTTGAGAACATCCTCACTTTGCGAGGGAGTTCAGAAAGTTTGAGACAAAACGATGCCATATTATATGATGTACAACCGTGAGCTAATATCAAGGACCTGTCATGTGTGAGTGAGCCAAACCAATTGATGACATCGCCAGGGGTACGCAGCAGCGCTAGTCTGTGTGCGCGAGACAAAACAGAGTCAGCCGGCCCGGCCAGGGTGGACGTGCGGCGGCTGAAATGTCACACCACGTCCTGTCCAGCCGCGGACGGCTGGGCTCTTCTCGGCGCTGTGTTGTGTCGGCTGCATGCGACCCAGTACGCGCGCCGGCTGCGACGCCCTCGAACGGTGGCGGCGCTCCTGGACGTCGGCGGCGCCCCCGGACGGCAGTGGCGTCCCGGGCGAGCACCCCCTGACGGCGGCGGCGGCGCCCCCGGACGGCAGTGGCGTCCCGGGCGAGCACCCCCTGACGGCGGCGGCGTCCCCAGACTGTAATGGCGCCCCAAACGGTGGTGGTACCCCCGGACGTGGCAGAGCTCTCGAACTGTGACGGCGTCCCGGACGGTGGCGGCGCCCCCGAACGGTGGCGGCGCCCCCGAACGGCGGCGGCGCCCCCGAACGGCGGCGGGGCCCCCGAACGGTGGCGGCGCCCCCGAACGGCGGCGGGGCCCCCGAACGGCGGCGGTGCCCCCGAACGGCGGCGGGGCCCCCGAACGGTGGCGGCGCCCCCGAACGGCGGCGGGGCCCCCGAACGGCGGCGGCGCCCCCGAACGGCGGCGGCGCCCCCGAACGACGGCGGGGCCCCCGGCGCGGCCGGCGCGCCTCACCCTGTGCACGCTTGCTCGTGGCGCATCTGCTCGACGTACACTGTGTGCACATACATCCAGCTTTGACCGCCGCGCGCCGCGTGGTCGGCCACCGACGCCTATGAGTCGCCAGCGAGCGCCGCAGGCAGGATCAACAGCCACCCTAAGCCGGATGTGCTGTCAAAGGCCAGGCGTCCCACCGCTGGCGGCTTTCGCAGGGTCGTGACGCGGAGGGCCCTTTGAAGCTAGAGCTGCCCGTGCGCCCGGTTCCAACGGCGGGCTGCAGTCTGGCGAGCCGAAGTATCGTAACTGCTGATAACACATTCTGGCCGAAAATGGCTACTTATGTCCACTGTGGACCAGTATTACTTTGGCGGTGAAATGAAAGAGAGACACCTTGCCATTGGGCTTCGTTTCACCAAGAAAGGCCATTAGCTCCCAGTTTTTCGACGTTGTGAGTTCCGAGTTTTTATTCTGAGTCATCGGCGTTCAGCATACCAGGAAGAATTGATCAAGCGACGTTATAGAGCAAACGTTGGTTATATTGGCAGTGCTCGTTTCCAGCTGTGCTTCCAGCTGTGTTCCAGCTTCCAGCTCGCGAGTTATCGCGATCATATCACATCACATCAACGAGACGGTCGCGATCTCACGATCACCCTGCGGTCGCGTCTAGCCTTCATAAGCACAGCTTGAAGCGTCAGTCACCGTCAATATAAGCGTGTTTCCTCTATGTTGATCAATCTTGTCATTAAGCCAGTGTCTCCAGTTTTCTTTTCTAAGGCCGATGTGTCGGCAAAAGAAGCCTCAATTAACCATTGCGCTTCAGTAACAAGCGAAAGGCTGGTGAACCCCCTCGCCTATAACGCTACAGGTCGGTGACAGTCTCTGGCGCTGAGCTTCGGGTGATGACCCCGAGTCGTCGGGGTCATCACTTGAATGGCCTCCAGGCGCCACATCGACCACGTCATTGTGTTATTCTGGTGTCCCGTCTGCTTCGATTCTGTCGTGTATGGTCGAAGCACAAAAACGGCCCGCCCACGTAAAACTTACTTCAATCGGGGCCCACCAGATCCGCTGGCGGTTCCGCCAGATCCACTGGTGGTTCCACTAGTGCAGGCCTTTGGTGAGCTCATGCGGAGCCTGGTGTAAGGCGATCATAACTCACAACGCTGTTTAACAAGCTGTCTGACCCACAGTACGTGCTGAACCTGGATACCAAAACGATGTGGAGATATGGCATCCGTGGACCTGACCGAGCCTGATCCGGTGCCATACGACCCGATGTGACCTGATGTGACCTGTCTCGAGGACCGGTTCCCGATGGTGTCTACCGCTGACCTCTGCGGGGCTCGGTGACCGGTCCAGTGTCTGCCACTGAGCGCAGCGGTCGATCCTCAGCAGTGTCTGCTGCTGACCTCTGCGGGGGTCGGTGACCGGTCCAGTGTCGGCCACTGAGCGCTGCGGTCGATCTTCAGCGGTGTCTGCTGCTGACCTCTGCGGGGGTCGGCGATCGTTGCAGTGTCTGCCACTGAGCGCTGCGGCCGATCCCCAGTGGTGTCTGCTGCTGACCTCTGCGGGGGTCGGTGACCGGTGCATTGTCTGCCACTGAGCGCTGCGACCGGTCCCCAATGGTGTCTACCGCTGACCTCTGTGGGGCTCGGTGACCGGTGCAGTGTCTGCCACTGAGCGCGGCGGTCGATCGTTCCCAGGCCTATCGTGACGCGGCCCGAGCGGGGCCTCCCCAGCGCTGTTCGCCACCACATGTACACACAACAGTCTGCTGAGTTCATCCGACTTAACCCGGACAGATTCAGCGGCCACCGACAGCAGCAGAGGTGAGCACCGTCTCGGCCACCGACAGTAGGAGAGGTGAGCGCCGTCTCGGCCACCGGCCCTGCCGCTCACGTCTGGCTCGCTGGGTGTGGGCCCGGCAGCAGGGCCAGCTGCACCGTGTCGCGGGAAGACCTTACCTGGGGACGCCAGGGGTGTACTTTCAGAGTGGCTTCTGCTTCACTGTGTTTATTCACACATGTAGTGCTGAAAGTGAAGCGCTGTGACTTGTCATCTATCAACGTTCGAGCTAAAGGTACTAACTTCCGGATTTGAATTCACTGTAGGCGCGGAGGCCGTGTCCCACGCCGTCGCAGCCATGATCAGCTGTTGACTGCTGACCTGTCGCAGACCCGCCTCTGTGGAGATCGCCGAGCTGGAGACCGTGCTGTGAGGCTGAGGCCGATCTCCGAGCCCAGCAGCGGTCCAGAATCCAGCACCGCTGTCCACCAGCCAGCACCGGGGCCCAGCAGCCACAGCAACCATGCTCGCAGGAGACGGCCGCTGGTCGCACACGGCCCCGTGTGGCGGATGAGAGCCTGGGTGGTGCGGGGAGGCGTCCACCGGTCTGGCCTGGCGGTCTCATGGGGCCAGGCATCGGTGCCAGCCACGTATTCGGCAGCCCACTCGCGACTAGACCAGAGCGAGCCTGTTTTCGGAATTGGGGAACAGGTCGATGGGGACCGTAAGGATCTCACGTCGTCGTTGTCGTCACTGGGGCTTTGCGACGCGCCCAACTACTGAGGCTATATAGCCTCGCCTCCCTCCCACCCTGGCAGGAAGGGCAGGCACCGCGGGGAACCGAACCCAGCGCCTTTGGTTTCCCAGACGCGCAGTGGTCAACGCAGACGCGTTAACCACTACGCTATCGGCACCCCTGGGGGCTTTACGAACCCCTGGAATGGGAGGCTGCCAAAAACGCCAGGAGCGTGCCACCGGTGGCAGATATACAAGTAGATGCCCGACCGGGCGGAGCGCTGCCGCCAGCCTGGCGGAGCCGGCGCGTCGTCGGTGGCCAACCAGGCTGCGCTGATCCTTGGGCCGATCTGATAGAGGATATGATCTTCGGCGCGCCCTGCGCGCGCACAGGGCATGCCGAAGATAAGATCCCGTCCTCCCGTCCGGGCACGGACCGCAGATAAGTGTGATATTTATCAAGTGTTTTCTGGGTCAGCGCTGTTCCGCGTCTGTTGACTTGTTGTTGCAATCAGCTCAGTTCATGCGCTTGTGCCGCTGTGATGATTCAGTGCTGACCAGGTTTGTAGATTAGAGGTATACTCTGTAGGTGAGGAACGAAAAGCTCGTTTCCAGCATCTAGATTTCGCGCACGGATGGCTCTTGGGTACGGCGGGACGTGGCTATAGACAAACGTTACATTTTCGTGTTGAGAAATGCGGTAATCGCCGTTAACAGCCGTGTTTTTGACAGTGTTTAGATTATAAATGTTACACGTGATCATTTACGTGTTCTCAAATCCTGCTCAGTGCGCTGCCCGTTGAAGATGTGTGCTTTCTTCGTCGGGCTTGTTAATTTGCGGACGTAAAAAATCAAATACATCATTTGTATTTTACAAACAGTACCAACACTTATCCGCCCAGCGCACCTGTGGCACAGTTCTGCAGCATTCGCGGGCATACTGGGCGAGTTCCCTGTGCGTGCGTGAGTGGGTGCCTGTCGAGCGTCCGCCCACGGCCCTCACAGCGCGACAGCAGTGCGGGCGGGCCGAGTTCAGAAACATGGCACGCCTGGCCTTCGGAACACCGAGATCGTGCCGGCCGGCCGTCACCGCTTGACGAAGCTGCGGTCCATGGCGGCGGCCGAGCGCTGGATGTTGTAGCGGTTGGAGCGGATGCGCTGCTCGACGGTGCCCCGGTCGGCGGCGGCGCGCAGCTGGTCCCGCACAAACGACGCCTCGCCGCTGCCCTTCTCGTGCTCCTGCTGCTCCCGCGCCTGCTCGCTGTCGTACCTGGACACAGGCGCGTGGCCGGGTCACCAGGCGGTTCGAGCGGTACGTCACGGCGCACTCCAGGGTCACATGACAGGCATTGCGCCTGAACACGGCAGCAAACCCGGCTGGCTTGTTGATCCAGTGACTGGGCCCAGGGAAGCCTAGGGTTAAATAGCGAGAGCGGTGGTGACTGAGTAGCCACGTAACACTAAACACGTATCTGCACGACGCAGGATGTACCGATACATCCAAATACATTCATAGGCCGCATACTGCACAAATGGTTTGGGTTCCGATGACTGACCCCCATGCACCGTCCCTGGACAGCAGACATAGTATGGTTACCGGCCGCCCTCAAACATCCCAACAAGGCTAACCACGTCAAACCCTGTAATCCCATCTTATTTGTCCTATTTGTCTTACCTGTTCAACCAATCACATTTATTCATCCCTAAGGCAAATACAAAACGGTATGAACTAGATCGTCCACGGCGTTAACAATGTATGTTACCGTGTGTTTGGTTGAATGAAAGTGCAGCCACTACGCTGGCAATGTTAGCGATGCAGCATCTGTCCTGTGTCGACACTGACCTGGCTAGGTTGTCTGCCCGCTGCTGATCTCGGAGCTTGGCGTTGTCCATCATTTCTTGACGCTTCCTATCCATCTCCTCCTGCGACAGGACGCTACCTCGTCCTCGCACCTTCTCCGACTGGTTCCGGCCTCCTCCACTGCCGTTCGTCCCTCGTCGGTCCCTGTCTTCGTCCCTGCCACTCCGTTCCGTTCGCTCTCTATATCCGTCTCCGCCGTCCCGCTCGGTTTTATCTCTGCGACTGCCTTTGCTGTCCCGCTCTGCTCGATCCCTTTGACCGCCTCTGCTCCCCCGCTCTGCTCGGTCCCTGTGACCGCCTCTGTTGTCCTGCTCTGCTCGGTCCCTGTGACCGCCTCTGTTGTCCTGCTCTCCTCGGTCCCTGTGTCCACCTCTGCTGTCCTGCTTCGCTCGTTCCCTGTCTGCACCGCGGCTGCCCTCCTCCAGCCTGTGCCTTTCACCGCCTCTGCCGTCCCGTCCTCTGCCACACTTCTCCCCGGCTCCGCCGTCCTTCTCCGGACGGCTTGCACTGGTGGAATAAACAAAACACGGCATCAGTTCACTACTCAGACGTGTCACGGCGTTCAAAATGACGGCCACGTCAGCCACCGTCCACTGAACTCCTACGGGGTCGGGGATAGAGACAAACGGCAGGACACGGATATCCCGCAACCGAGTTACACCAATGGTATCGAAGTGGACGCAGCGCTGCCAGCTGGGCGATCACCTATCGTGATCAAGTGAATGGCCGAGAACGGACGTGATCAAGGGCGTGGTCAAGTTCTGTGGGCAGTGCGTAACAGGGGTGTGACATTGTACCAAGTTGGAGGGGCTCGAGGCCGCTGCCCTCAGCTGGCGGCTCAGCCCTGGACTGCGAGCAGCGGGCGGCGTCACTGGACGACCGAACTGAGCGGCAGGGAGGACTGACGGCCACAGGTGATGCGTTAAGGCCGTTATCTCCGTGCCACGTCACATGCACAGCGATAGTTTTCTCGTTGTTTTTAGGAGATACGTTCACCCCCAACGTCGCCCCCCCCCCCCGCAGTTATCTCACCTACACGCCATATTCATTAAGCATTCCAGCAATGAACGCAAAAACAATGGAATGACACCTCATTTTCTAAACTGTGTACTGAGATAAAGAGCTGTAAAAACGAAGCAAAGACAAAACATTTGATGATGCTGCAGGTTTTTAAGATACAGTGTAGAGTCGCCTCTCCCGTCCCGCATTTAGTGAAAGCAAACCTCGGACGCGCAATACGGTCATTGATATGCTCGACTAATGAAATATCGTACATATACAGTAGCTCCACAAATTCCATAGGACTGAGAAGTATTGCTCACTTCATCAACCTGTAACGCGACAAAAGAAAATGAACCATTCGTTTCAGCCATATATCTGCGGTGTATAACACATCTCAGGTGCTCGTCGTGCCCGAAACACCGCAGCGTCAGCGATCGGACTGCATTTGGTGGCCCAGCGGCCGTCCCCCCTCCACACCTACCTGTCGCCTGGTGGCCCAGCAGCCGTCCCACCCCCACACCCATCTGTCATCTGGTGGCCCAGCAACTGTCCCGCCTCCACACCCACCTGTCGTCTGGTGGCCCAGCGGCCGTCCGCCTCGACACCCACCTGTCCGCGTGTCGCCTGGATGGCACGCCGTCGGGCCGGGCCGTCTGCCGCGCACGGCAGGCCCCCTCACTCCCGCTGCGCCGGTCTCCAGCGCTGGAGCTCCGCGACCGCGACCGCTTGCGGGACGGCTTCTTCTTCTTGGCTGGCGCGGGCGATTCACTTCCGGAACTGCTACTGGAACTGCTTCGATGCCGTTTTTTCTTTTCCTTACGGTGAGATTTCTTTTTGGACTTTGACGCATCCTTCTTCTTTTTCTTCGTTTTCTTTTTCTTTTTAGGCTCATGATCATCGCTGTCCGAATCACTAGACTCGGAGCCATTCTGGAGCAACAAAGCCATCTTAGCAAAGAGCTTTTTGTCAATATCTTCTTCCTGTTTCTTGTGTTTCTTTTTCTTGTTACCGTCCTCTCCTTCTGCCTCCGCTTTTCGTAACTTTTCTAGTTGTTTGCGCTTTATCGGGTTATCCATTAGCTCCTGCAATGCTTGATCCTCCTGCTTACGTATTTGAAAAAGCGGGTCTTCTTGTATCTTCCTGGCTAGATCCACTTGCATCTGGCCAAGATCCCTCCGCGCCACGGATCCGGGAAGAATTTCGTGCTCCACTTTATACACTGGACCTGCCGCCTTCTCCTCATCCTGCTGTCTCTCAAAGTTACTATCAATTTGCTTACCAAGCAAGTATTCCTCTCTATTCAAGGTTGACTTGTTACCCTCATACATCCAGTTCAACTTGTCACTCTCTGCCATGATGAGGTATGATGAATGAATGTCTCACTTGTACAATCCTCGAGAAACCTGTAATGGGCCAACATGCTTGAAAGACCACATGTGACATGATCACCAAACTGCTGCAATTTCTGTTGGTCGCAAAACTAGCTTTAAGCCGTGAAAGTCGCCAAATTTTCTAAATAAGCCGTGGAAGCTGCATATTTCATTGCTCTTTAAGAGAATGTTCCACATTTGGAGACATTGAAGCAGCCAGCAGATAGGATGAAATCAGCTCAATCAACTGTTTCTATACCTTTAATAGGAAAAGACTGTCTCGACAACACAATATTTCTATTTACTAAACATGCCCCTCAATACCTGATCATTTGATTGCTTCATTGCAAATCGCACATTAGTTGAGAGCTAACTGACGACCGGTTTACCTGGATATCATGCTCATGAACGCCAGATGTGAACAACTCGACACTTATATTGTTCTAGCAATGATCGCCACGGGGCCAATGAAATAGCAGAATTGAATGACGTTATCATGGCGTCATGGATGCCTGGGTGGCCTCTGAAAGTCCGCGAGAAATGTCTGCACATCTTCACGGGCGTGCAGTTCAGAAGCTAGAAGGGTTTAGGTTTTGGTAAGAGCAGGGCTGTTAATGCACCGAATGATATTCAAGATTCAGTTCCAAACCCATGCAAATGTAAAATATGTCCTTTATTACACCCGAGCTGAAACCAAGAGCGAAAAGGCGAAACATTGGGCTACATTGCGATAATGCGTGCTACAAGAATCCAACAATCTGCGATGAATCGGGTTATCCCGCGTCACCAAATTCCATCGATTAGGTTACATGCAACCCAATCCATTCACTCATTCTCCTACCGTAAGCCAACATTACGACACACTCCATTACGGTGAAGTAAAAAGGAACACCCACGAGTTCGGCTGCATTTCAATTTTCTGTGTGGGGGGGAGGGTATAAGCGTGGGCTTGTTTGTGTTTTTGGATGTCATATATACATTATATATATATATATATATATATATATATATATATATATATATATATATATAGACAGGTCCGTATATCTTTGCAGACTGTTTTCCTTTATGTACAACCAATGTACAACCGCTGATTGTGCATTCACGAGCTTTTTGATGCATTGCTTGTGGCTCCGGGTTTTTTTACTTAGCAGCGTCGTTAACACGCACTAGGATGGGGGCCAAATTGACCGCGGAGGTTTTTCCACAGCGATTTCCGAACCGCGCGGTGTAGCCGGCCCAAAATTTGCATAACTGTGGAGAATTGAATAGCGGATCTTTTGATGCCCAAATCAGACGTGGCTTGTTAAGTCCTAACCTATGGCCCGTCAAAGTCAGGCCATGGCTGTCAGCGATGACCATTTTCAGAGAGCCGTTCCATGTTTTGCCACAACAGAGCGCTAGATGAAGCCATACATATCTGAGAGTTTCTTAGGCAGTACACCGATTCAATTTAGAATTACAACCAATTCCAGCGACCTAAGGTCAGGTATAAAGGTCAGACCGAGGTCAAAATTAACTTGCTTTTTACTCGAGAGCTTGGTTTATGGGGTAGCTTCTGGCGCTCACTTTGAATTTATCAACGACAGGGACCATAACAAACACGCTCCATGGACTTTTTAAAGGTCAGAATAGGTCCCTGACATAAAATGACGCAGCTGAACATCTTGTTTTTAAGAGCATGCCGCCTAGCGTAGTCCCTGACGCTTATCCTGATGGCAAAATAGAACCAACCTCGTAGGCATTTGGCTGCCCTGACTTTCGAAAATAAGGTCGCTTAATTTAACCAGGCATGATTGGACACAAGTTAACCTTGCGCTTAAAACAGGTAATTTGCTTCACGGCGGTGGCGTGAGGACTTGGGAGCATTTTAAACACCAATTTGGAGTCTGACATTGTTTGACCTTATTTGTCCGCAAGTTCATGACCTAGGGGACTTAAAAGTTCACGTGCGGACCAGCCCATAATGTGAATTTAATCTCTCTAGGTCTCTTAGTTTCCGAGATCTCAGGGGATCGAATTGATCTCCCACCCACACCCCAGCGAAGGGTATTTGAACGGCCATGCGGGTGCGCGTTAAGATTTAAAATTGTTCGTGCAAAATCACTCATATATTCGACGATATCTGTGCATTCTAAGGCTTCCAGCCATTATCTCATCGTCGGAAAAATATAAATGCCACAAGCAACAAGTTCACACTTTTCAAGGATGAAAGGTGTGCATCGCCATCATAAATGATCGATTTTAACAGAAGACAAAAATTATGATCGTTGTTTGGATACGTATAAAATGCGCCCGTCAGAATACCACAGACACATCACCACAATCGCATCTACAGTATCTATTGCCCACCACCTAATACCTCAAGAGTTGTGCAGGCCTTTGTATGTTTGCAGTTGGAGAGGGTGCGTTAATAAACATGCTTTCTCAAATTTGAAAGCGTCTTCTGTCATTGCGCGTCTGAGGAATGTCAGTGCTTTCCGTTAGTCGTCGTGTCCATGTCCCATCATGTTCGTGTCGCATGCGCTGCAGAGGTGCGCCGTCGCGTCAGGAGCGCATGTATTGCAATCACGACACTCCCACGACGCCTGACAATGCAGCCTCGGAAGTACATTGCCGGGTGTCGTGATAGTGTCGTGGTTACGCCAATGTTGTTTATGGAACAAAGTTTGCAGGCTAGATTACATTTCAATTGATACACTACATTGGCACATTTTAGTTTGTCGGCTTTGACAAGGCTGTTCCGAATAAGTCAGAGATTTGCCTATTGCGGTAATAAATTACAACGTATTCTGTGGTCGTTCTCGCCTTTTACGTATTGAGAAATGATTTCACGCAGAGCTTTTTCGTCTTGTTTGTAGGCAAATGTCATATGATTCGTATAATACAGTTGGACGGTTGGCTGGTTGTCTTGTCGTGGTTTATTGTTAAAGCGTTTTATCACGTGTCGCTGTACTTCGTTTTCATTCATTAAACATGCATTTAAGCACTGCTCTGATCGTACAGGACTACAGTCGGAATTGGTACGAATCAGACAGATCCTGGAATCGTGTTTTTCTTCAAATTCCGGGGTTGAAAGCGGAATGCGATGACACGTGACAAGACTCTTTAACAATAAACCAAGATGACAAACTACCAGCCGTCCAAGTGTATAAGTAAAAGCAAATAGCATCTGCATACAAAGATGGCGAAAAACTACGGAAAATCGTCTCTCGACACGTAAAAGGCGAGAATGACCACAGAGTATACATTGCCATTTATTATCACAATAGGCAAATCTCTAACTTTCCTATGAGGAACACCCCTGGCAAGCCCGACGGGCTAAAATGCACCAATGTAGCATATCACTTTCAATGCTATCTCGAAGGCCGCAAACTTCGTTCCATACACTACATTGGCGTAATCACGACAATCGCGCGACGCCTGACAATGCACTTACGCGACGGGGCACCTCTGGAGCGCATGCGACACGAACATGACGGGACATGGACACGACAACGACTGACGGAAACCACTGACATTCCTCAGACGCGCAATGACAGAACACGCTTTCAAATTTGAGAAAGCATGTTTATTAACGCACTCTCTCCAACCGAAAACTGACAAACGCTTCGCAAGATGAGAGTTATTAGGTGGTGGGTGGTGGATACTGTACATGTTATCGTGGCGATGTGTCTCTAGCGTTTCCATCATCGGTGCTTTTTATACGTATCTGAGTAACTAACGATCCATTCCTTGGGAATCTTTCAACCTGATGCAACAACGGTGCGTTAGATGGAACCATACATCTCTGAGATGCTTTCTTAGGCAACACAAATACTGAATGGGCAAATTACGTTAACCTAGAGTCAGGTATGAGGGTCAAACCAAGGCCATAATCAACCCCTTTTATTACTTTAGGGTTTGCTGTATGGGGTAGTGTCTGGTGCCCACTTCGATTGATTGATAGCAGGAACCGCATTATACATCTTCCATGGACTTCTTAGAGGTCATAAAAGGTCACTGACTTAAAATGACCCAGGTTAACATTGTTTTAAGAAACATACTGCCTAACGTAATCTTTGTCACTTGTTCAAATGCAAAACTCAGAGCAGTCTTTTAATATTTTGGTCACCATGACCTTCAAAAGGTCCAAAAAGGTCACTGACTTTAGGTGAGCACGTGACCTTTTGCTTAGAACGTTATCTAGGTTCTGGGGGCACTTTGGAGACCAACCTGGAATTTGACCTTGCTTGACCTTTACTGACCCGAAGGTCATGACCTAGGAACCTAAAACTTTGAACTAAGTGAGTTCACGTACAGGTCAACACACCCCATAAATTTGGAGTCAATAGCTTTCTTAGTTCCCGAGATCTCAGGGGAGTCAAATTGACCCCCACCCGAGCAAAGGGTATCTAGCCGGCCACGCGGGCGCTTGTTAAATATGGTCGGGCTTTATGCTACATATATAGCATAAGGCAGCAACCATGGGTACACCCATAGCTAAGCGGTAGGTGGTAGTCACAGAAAGGCTGTTGGTCGAGTCAGCAGATGTCAATTTCTGTTCTGCGCCTAGCGACCTGGTGACAATGCCGTTTTTGGCGGTCACAGTATCTCGCGAAGAGTATCCCTGAAAGACGGCAGGGGACAACAGCAAATACTCAATGCTCACATATTTCAAATATCATTTCAAATAATGTAAGATGTGATGTGTGAAGATGAACCACATCCGTGCCCGCCGTACCCCAAACCGGAAGGGGTCCCGTGGACGTCATGCCCGTACCCACCCTACCCCAGGCCAGAATGGGTGTTGTGGATGCCATGTCTGTGCCCAGACCAGAAGGGGCGTTGTGGACGTCATATCTGTACCCACCCTACCCCAGACCAGAAAGAGTGCTGTGGACGTCGTACCCAGGCAAGAAGAGGTGTCGTGGACGTCATGTCCGTACCCAGACAAGAAGTGGTGCTGTGGACATCATGTCTGTACCCAGACAAGAAAGGGTGCTGTGGACATCATGCCCATACCCACATAAGAAAGGGTACTGTGGACATCATGCCCATACCCACATAAGAAAGGGTGCTGTGGACATCATGTCCCTACCCTGACAAGAAGGGGTGCTGTGGACATCATGTCTGTACCCAGAAAGAAAGGCAGCTGTGGACATCATGTCTGTACCCAGACAAGAAGGGGTGCTGTGGATGTCATGTCTGTACCCAGACAAGAAAGGGTGCTGTGGACATCACGCCTGTACCCAGACAAGAATGGGTGCCGTGGACACCAGTGCCTGACACTGGACAACCTGGCATAGCTGAAATGTCAATCAGTTACAAACAGCTTAGTGCTGAGAAAGCCTGTCAGCTCCATAACCCCCACAAAATCCAACTATGCAAAGGTGACTTGCATAAATTTTGGTGTGTTTTGGATTAATATCTATTTGCTTCACCTTTTGCCAACTTTGGTGTGAATCTACACATCTAATGATCTACCTGCACTCCCTTTTCCCCCATGTGTCAATTTTTTCTACTTGGATATAGGTGTGCGAAACTCATGTAAAGGTGGGTGCGCCTGATCAGTAAATATATGTATGAGTGTGATCCAAAATGCTGGGCCCTGCAGGAAGGATGATGTCACCTGGTGCTCATCCACACATGGAGGCAGTAGCTGCACAGCAGACTTATTGAACTGGGTGCACAGAACCACAATGCACTCATGCCCCAGCAGATTCCATTGGGGGGGGGGGGGGGGCAGAGAGTACCCTAGGAGTGCCCTAGTGTGTGCAAAGCTGTTCTTGCATACTGAACTGGCCTCTATCAGCTGCCCAGGACAGTGCAGTAAGATTACTGGCCAAGAATTGGATGCTGCACTGGTATGGTCTGATGGGAGGAGTGGTGTGGGATGTTTAAGAAAACAATGCTTGTGATCCCCTGTTTATTTGTTTATGAGAACATGTGAGGATGAGCATGAAGACAAGACCCCAATGTAGTGGTGTTTATTCAACTAACTGTGCAACAACACAGGGAATTGTTAAGCCTTTGCAACCAGCCAGCATGTGATACACAACAGCAGTTCTGAGCAATTAAAATATAGTCAGAAGCCCTTCCAGATTATCTACAATTGGCTGAATACCCAGCATGCATTAGGGCAGCATGATATCTTCTCCAATATAGATCAACCCAATATTGTTCTATGTTCTATCTTCAACATTCTAAGTTCTATGTTCAATGTTCTATGGAGCAAGGAAGGGGCATGGTTTCCTTTTAAGTTAGGGAGGCCTATGCTGGCATTACCCTCCCCTGCACCAAGTTGGGCTCCCCTGTGTTTAGAGCAGAAAGATGGCCAGACCTGGACAGATACCCATTTGTTGGTGCATTCCATGGAAAGGTTGCATCAATTTGCCATGGCCCACCCCCCCCCCCCCTCTCCTCCATACCTATTTTGCGAAACTAAGCCTCAGAGGCAAGCCACCAAACAGCTAAGCAAGGCTACCGGCTCCGTACTACAAAATGATGACTACCAAGACATGTGGTCCGCGGTTCTATTCAAGGCCATTGAACAGTGGTTCTATTAACTAACCTGCAGGTGTTCACTTTTATATTTAAGGACGGAATAACACGTACATAAGACGTCTTCTGCAACACACAAGAGCGGGCATATGCCCAATGCGCACAAACACTGAAAGTGCAAGCCAAGGACTTACAATAAGCCGTCCTAGCTGATATGAGGCCAAGACCTATTGTATGATACATTTCTGGTGTGGCTGTGACAAAAGAGTATGAAACCAAACAACGCAACGTTTACGCGCGTCAAATTGGAACGGTGCTCAGATTGGCGTTCGGATCCATCTTCGCAGACTTTCAATATGTCTGGAAATCAGCACAAAGATAGCTCGTAACTTCCTGATCCTTCTGGTGCAAGTGTAATGTAGCGGGTCCGAAAGCAAAATTGCTATAGTCGGTCAAGGAGTCCAGGGTGACAAAATTGGACTGTTCGGATTACCTTCAAAGTCGGTGGACTGATCAAGCTCCATTTCCTCATCATTCTCGTGGAATTGCTTTGAGCCAGACTAAGAATGCAAAGAAGCTACGGCGTACTCAAAAGTTCAAAGGCAAAAATCAGGCTACTTGGATGTACATCAAAATCATTGCACTGATAGAGCTTTATTTTCTGAGTAATCTGTTGAAATTGCGAAGTGGCAGTCTGAAAAACAAGGAATTAAGGTGTAACGCAAGTCCAAGATAAAAATCGGGCCACTCGGGTGTGCTTCATAATTGACACAATGATTAACATAATTCCACACCTTCATAATTGACACAAATTAGAGCTTAACCCCCTGATAAGTTTGTTAAAAATCGCTACACTACAGCAAGTAAAGAGAAGTAGCCTAAGCTCAAACTCATACATGGACGTCCGCATTGACTAAGGGTGTCCTCGAGCGGTGCAAGAGGATCGCTGGCTGGTACTTTAGGTCACCAACCTGCGGGATCGTGACTCTTTATGTGACGCGCAGTCAGTCCTTTGGGCCCTCATACCCTCCAACCGGACCTTTGATTGCCAGTTCCGTTGGGCCGCCCAAGCCCCTCCTGGGGCCTCATAGAATACTGCCCTTGTTCGGCTCGGGACCCCTTGTGAGCACTGAACCCTCTGTTAGGTGCTGTGGGTCCCTGACAGATACAGGGGTTCCGACCGGTGTAAGTCGCTGGCCCGGGTCTTGTAACTGGTTGGGAAGTGGGTCCTCGGGGCCCATACCAATACGGAGCAGGCTGTGCGGTACTGGTGGAGCCTGACCGGTATATAGGCCCTTATCGGCTCAGGGGCTCTTGATCTATGGCCAGTCCCTTATCGGCTCAGGCCCGTCCCGCAGGCCGAGGCCCCTGAACAAGACTGATCAGCCCTTCGTGTCCTTAAGCCCTCAAATCGGCCCCTTGATCGTTGGACCCGGCGCGCCCTGAAGGCCCCTTGGGCCTCCTCGGACACTGCCTCTGGCCGCTTCGGAGCTCCCTGACAACACAACGTCCTGTCGGGCGCTGTGGGGCATTGACAGACGCCGGGGCCCTGGCCATTGCAAATTGCTGGCTCTGGATTTGCCTATGCTTGGGAAACAGATCCTCAGGCCCATACCGCCGCGGAGCCGACCGTGCGTTACTGGTGGTGTCTGGCCGATGCATAGACCCATATCGACTTAGAGACCTTTGATCAGCGCGCAGGGCCTGCTGGCTGGCATTGGAGTGCTTGGCCCTGCAGGCCGCGGCCCTGAACACGTCCTCCGGAGAGCCTTTCGAGCCTATCGGGCCCTCAAATGGGACCCTGAATGGTAGGTTCCTTATGGGGGCCACGTGCCCCCTGTGCCCCCTCCTCCTGCGCTACTGTACACAAGTCACCAATCCTCGCCCTGATTCGCTGTTTTTAAAACATGGACTGATAGGGGTCGATGCGACCACCTGCCATTCCAAAAGCAAGACGACAGCCAAGCGGAAGCCACCAGTGGATTGGCCTTGACGAGATCTCGCGACTGGCAATAAGCTTGTAGTTTGGCTAATAATTGACCCCACTTGTTCTGGCTTGCATTTTTTGGGGCAGGGCCACCGTCCCCCCCCCCCCCCCCAATGTCCAATTCCCAAAACGATGAGTTTGCGTCTCCCTCACCAAGCGTTTTGGCGTCTAAGTACAAGCAAAGCATTAAAAGTGGGAGATCAAAGTATTATCAGATGTATAGAAGGTTTATAATTGTTTCACATGTAAAAGAAACAAAGAAAACGAAAACTGTGATGTCGCGTACAATTGAGTGCAGCTGACTGCTAGTCACACTTAAAGCACCGTGTTTGTACCTGGTTTATTTTTTAGAATTGTCTTTCCTGCGTGGTGTATATTCTAACAGCACCATAAACATATATTGATTGTTGCTTGGTTTTGTGTCGTCCGCGTGTCGTGGCACCAATCAGCGACACGTTTCAAGCTCTACAGTTTCACTTGTATTGACCGGGATAAAGGCCAGAAAGAAAGCCTCTTCTGTCAAACTTCAATCGCTTAGTTTAAGGGAATCCAATGGCGGTAATCCGACCAGAGCCGTACACTTGAAATTACTTGAAGTTTTCCTAAGTGCAGTTCGCTCACCTCGCCCAGCATCGTTGCGTTCTGGTCTTCGAACTTCGAAACTCTTACAACCACGCTGCCACCCCGTTAAGCAACTGCAGCGGTGTACGTTGTTCACGTTCAGTATTTTGCGGGCTTAGCAGCCAAACGAAAACTTCTCATTTGGTAGCTTCGAAATAGCTTTGCTCTACGAGTGGCGTTCTTTTGTCTACGGAAATACATATATTTAGGCACACTTTGAGAATGCTCCTCGGCTCACGACAGTCCATGAAACAATGACTGCGGTGAATCCGAGATGCTCAAAGAGGTTTTTTGCCAAAACAATTTTAGGCAGTAGCAAATTAATTCCTTCTGGATGCTCGGTATGGCCCATGTGGAAAACAGGGACCCATATTGCCATTTAGTGAACCTTCCTGACCACCTGGGACATTCTGGTAGGGTAGGGGCCGCTATAGCTGCGAAGGGTATTCAAAGCCGGATCAGGAAACCAAGCGGACCTCGAGACCATCTAGAGGCCCTTTGGTCGCCCATGGGTAGCATTGGCCGGTCGGGGTCCTACGTGCTCAGGGTATCTCCGACCGGTAATGGGCCGCTTTAGTCATTCGGGGCCCTTCTGGTCACTGAGGGCCCAGCTCTGGCCATTGGGAATCCTCCGTGGCCGGTGGCGTCTGCTAAAGGACCGCACTGGCCACCAAGGGCCACTCTGGTCACCAATGGACACCTTTGGCTGTTCAGGGGTCCTTGGGGAGATGTAATTGCTCGCCTGGGTATTGGGGTTTTACTAGTCGCTCAGCGGCCCGTCCGGTCGCCAAAACATGAGCTGTATCCTCGCAGCTCTTTTGACACCCGGGGTTTGGTTAGTGTTTCAGGACACTTTTGGTCGCTCAGAGGCTCTCCCTACGACTAAGTGCCCAACCGGCACCGCCTGGGACCAAAGGCGCAAATAGGGGCATATGACCTCGGGGCATGGACGACAATAGCCCATTGGGGGCTCGTGAGGACCCCCGCGCACTGACCGGAGGTCGGCCAGACTCCGGCCCTCAGTGAACCGGACTTTCGAGTGCCAGTTAGAGGCTCTCATGTGCCGCTCAGGCTCTCACATTTGACATGGTGATCCAAGCAGATACATGGCTATGGCCTGTGCACAATTTCTTTCCACGTTCTCTCAAGCTAGTTAAGCTCGCAATCTACGTTCAGATCAATAAATTACCTACCTTGCCCGCTGGTAATGAAGACACAAATACTGGTATCCGTTAACTGCGGTTGGTGATGTCAAATGACTAGCCCCAAAACGTCAATATTTGGCAGAGATGTGGAGAAGTCTCTATCTGGATGAGGCATACCTTATTGACTAAGGTTTTGGCGCAAAGCCAGGCTCTGTTTCTGACAGGGTAAATCAAAGTGCAATGTTGGTGAAATGTTATTACAAGTTAGGCATGATATCCAGAAGTTAAGCGAATTCTACGGTCATATCGGTAATCGTAAATATCGATGAATTGAGACAGTGTGGCAAAATGTGCCCATACATGTGACAAAATTTTCGATACAAGGCAAGCCTTCAACACAATCCAAGGTTGTGGGGTTCTTTTGACAACATGTTGAAGTGCGTCTTGAGATTTGGCTAGGGAATGCCTCAGGTGGCTTAATGTAACCACCACCACTATTTGAGAACCACACAATGCGCGCGCGCAAGTTCCCACACTATCCACCCGGTTTACGTTCATTATCTGCCCTCCAGTCCGTCATCCTCCCCCCCCCCCACGCACACGCACACGCACACGCCATAGTCAATGGACGGACGTTATTTGGCCTGGGCAGGCGCCCCGCCAACAACACCGCTGGCCGCGTTGTGGCCGGCACGTCCTGGCAATCCCTGGTAACAAAAGTCATGCACTACGCGAGGATTTCACGGTTCGGTTACATGAGCTGGGAAGGGTGGTGGCTTCATCACGGTCAGGCATTGCCCACTGCTGAGGAATATCGCAGGGTGTCGTGGAAGGTTAGTCATGCAAGCATTTTTTGCAAACCTTTTTTTCACGTGAAATAATGTCAACTAAATTACGCATGCCATTTACTCTGCTTCGTGTCAGCGCCGCCGGCGGCATGCAACCAAAATACATATGAAACATGGAATTCAACGTCGTCGACATCTTATGTACCTGTATTCGCATGTGCGACACAAAGTTCGCCACTTTTGTCGAGTTCGTACAGAGCAGACCCGGCGGACGACTGATCCAGACCAGAAAACCGGGCGCCAATCGCAATATGGAGATAGGAACTTCCACACCATCACGATTGGCAAGCCGCCTTTAGCGTTTTGACTCACGTTAGCGAAGTGACGTCATGCACTGTCCACTGGGCACGGTGAGACTCACTAACATTGCTCTATGACGTCAGCACATACTAAGCCACGGAAGGAGTCATTCGTCGGGCATGTGGGAACAATGACTGTCACTCCTTCATCGGCCACGCAGATTGCACGTAGGTTGCACTATGCGGTGTGGCTTGAATTCGTGCTATTTAAGGCCGGCTGCAATACCGGCGCCCGCTCCACCCTGGCCATACGTCTAACACATCACTATGACGTCA